TCGCTGGCTTTCCGCTGGGGCATGGCGGCGTCCTTCCCCGACCTTCCGCCGTGGTATGTCGTCGCTCTTCGCCGGCCTTCCGCCCCGGTATGTCGTCGCTCTTCGCCGACTTTCCGTCAGCGTATAGCGGTATCCTTTGCCGACCTCCCGCCGTGGTATGTCGTCGCTCTTCGCCGACCTCCCGCCGGGGCATGGCGGCATCCTTCGCCGACCTCCCGCCGGGGCATGGCGGTATCCTTCGCCGACCTCCCGCCGTGGTATGTCGTCGCTCTTCGCCGACCTCCCGCCGGGGCATGGCGGCATCCTTCGCCGACCTCCCGCCGGGGCATGTCGTCGCTCTTCGCTGACCTTCAATCCCGGTATGGGGTCGATCTTCGCCGACCTTCAGCCATGGTATGGCGTCGCTCTTCGCCGACCTTCCATCCCGGTATGGCGTCGCTCTTCGTCGACCTTCAGCCATGGTATGGCGGCGTCCTTTGCGGAGTGGGCAGCGGCGAACCTCGCTGGCGATCCTCCAGCTGAAGGTCGGGGCGTGGGGCAAGAGCGGGCTAACTCGTGCGGGATGGCTGTGAGCGCGGCGGGGCGGTGGAGTCTGCGAGCTCTTGGATGCGAATGCGAAACGCTTACCCCAGACCAAGAGCTAGGCTATGTCAAAGCACTACCGCATGGTCGACAACATTGAAGCTACAATGGTTCTTAATGTCGGCGAAAATATAGCATACTGGCACCAATGAGGCTTCCTTAAACAACGGTCATCGAGGAGTACTCAACTGAAAATGATGATAAGACTCAAATCCGTGAGAAGACTAACGCTAAGCATGTCAATAACGATAAGCACGTCACTAACGATAAGCGTCACCACTAAAGATAAGCGTCGCTAAGTATCTCACCACACGCCGGCAGCTCCATCGAACCACTCGGAAAGGGCACAGCGCTCACATTTGGTGACAGTGGTGACTGGCATTGCGTTGGGGACAGTGGTGCTGTGACAACGATGACTTTGCGTGGGTGGCAGTGGCGACATCGCTGACACGTTGTCAATGAGCTCATATGTTTAACTTCACACAGACGGACTCGCTTACCTCCTTGTTCGTCTTCTCTCATGGATGGGTCTTAGGATGTCTTCGCGCCATCGGAATGAACAGCTCTTGTTCCTTAGCCCGTCGGGAATCGACTTATAAGAAACTTTATTGACGTTCGATTTGATTTCTCGCCAGCCTCGCGGAACAAAGGTCGGTTTCTTCAGATGTTGCAGATGCCTGGCGTAGTTCCTTCGTCTTCCAGCCTGTGAGATTTTCTTTCCAGATACCTGCGAATTCTTCGGAGAGCTGTTGCAGCAAGTGATCCGTGGCCCGTCGCTTCACAGGAACAAGCAGTTCAAACACGACGTCTGCAGTTGCGGTGATCTTTCGGCAACTGTGATTTGTTCCGCCGCCAAGTAGATGCTGGTTGGTACACCTGACCTCGCGGGTATACCAGCCGACACGGAGGCAGCGGGACAGTAACCGATGACAGTCAAGTACAATCTCTAAGATACTAATTATGTGCATATTTGATTAGGGTGTAAGCACGACGAAACAATTGAAAATTACTGGTGCTTGTTAAAAGAAATATATAGATTTCGTTTCCACAACAATCTGGGTGTAAAGATGTTTCAATTACGATGTCAACATGCTCGGTGGTTTTTAATAAGCACTTGCATCGAAAGTGGGGTGAAGCGTACGAGAGCTCAATAAAAAGCGCAGGAAAACCGCTAGATTTTCACATGAGATACACATTTGGATTAAGGAGGTTTGCGGCTTTCTAATGCTGCGCTTCATGTCTGCCGTACACACCGATCGTTTTCAACGAAACGAAGCCGAACCTCCGACCGGAAGGGGTCGTGCGACACCATGCTTTGATCGCACGAGACAATAGCTGGGCGGTAGAGGCTAAGTACTGGCTCAGCGGAACACAGTCTGTCAAGTGCTTTTCTGATCGTAGTGCTACATCATTTTGTGAGCCTTTCCTGCCATTTTGGTCTACCGAGTCGCGATAACAAACGGAGGTCGGAGAGTTAAAACAGAATTAATCAGACGGAGAGTGAAAAACTTGGTCATCGAGCTGTGAGACCTTTTTGCGGCCGCCTTGATAATGAAATCATCAAAACTCTTCCTCACGGCATTGGCCGCTCTTCGTCACGGAGGGTATGTGTGGAATAGCAGCAATCGCTCGAACACCTCGCTTCGGCATGCCAGTTGGAATCGCATACACTGCCGCCAAGCGCACGCCAAGTAACCAAACACCGCCAAGCACCAAGTAAATAACAAAACACCAAACACCGCACCAAACACCGCACCAAACACCGCACCAAGTACATATTGGGCAATGTGCGCCGCGGGCACTAAGCTGATTAGTTTGTCGGACATGTCGCGGTGTGATTTATGGTAATACGGCTGCTGCGTCAGGCGTGAAATATTACGGGCGAAGACCGAACAGCAACGCCCAGAGAAGCGGCGAGCAAGAGCCGGGGAGCGCCCGCAACGAACATGAGTAACGCGCGTGGGGGAAGGGGCAGCGTCGAGCATCTGCCCTTCGCCGCGGCAGCGACGTACTTGCAGTTTTGTGGGGTTGTTTTGCCCACCCGATGTCCAGGGGGGGGGGGGGGCGCTGCTAGTGAGAACAAATAAACGACAGGGGCCAAAAATGCGCACGGAACACCAGCCATCAAATGAAACTGGATTCCTTCAAGCCTTCGCACAAATGGCGTCGTTTCATGACTTGAATTTCGCGATGTAAGTTATTTTGCGCCAATAAAACGGGAGCAGCCCCGCCAAGTGACTTATTACGCGCATTCAGCACGGAGTGATCCCCACACAGCACTTGTACCGGCACATGCAACATGTAGACGTCGCGAAGCATCCTAGAGTTCCTGCGCACGCCATCGCGGTTCGCCTCTACGTACGCCGTTTCCGCCGACCACGGCTCAGAGCTGGAGCCAGCACGCGATAACCAACACGCCTCCTGCGGATATCGACCAATCTAGACGAAACAATGCTCTTGATTCGTCGGTGTCGTCCCATTACGTTTTCCGGGTACAAAAACGCTCGGAAGTTTCGAGATTTCACGGAAAAACATGCCGAGATCGATAAAGCGGAAGACGTTGGTGCCCAACGAGCTGCAAGGAAAAGCCCTGGATGGTCTTCGGCGTCCAGATCACCAGCTTTGGCCAGTATGTAGTTGCGGTTGCCGTTCACCAGCATTGCTTTGGGGCACGCAATGCTGATGCCTGAGTTGTGGGGAGGAGCTCATATGGACCCTTGCACAGCAGGATAGTGATGCAACTGGTACAGGAATGTGTGGATGTCACGAATCGCTTCGTCAACACTCACGTATTCAACAGAGTTGCGTGGGGCGCATGCTAAGTGTTTGGTTCCCACCAGCATTGCTTGCTAAGGTAATGGTAAGCCCGCGGTCACTGAAAATGTCTTACCAGGTATACCGGGACTAAACGAGCCAAGTCTACGGTGTGCATCACATGCTTGCGTCGATATTAGCAGAACTACATATGAAGGGCAAATGTTTTTGTGCTGAATCTGCTGTGTTTCTCGAATTGTGCCTTGGTGGGCAAAATGGTTTCCAGTACGTGCTTGTCCACTGTCAACAAGTGTAAAACTTTGAAGAAAAAGTGGCGCAGCGCACAAAGAACACTGGATTTATAATTGTACACCAGATTTGCGGTCGGCTGACTCAGAGGTACAGCGTGCTGGTGAGAAGCATTATCTCGACCATCATTACCATCCAGTTTCAGCCACTTTTGAAGTCCAGGGGGATGGTAACTGGCATCGATATATACCAAACACAGCAATATTGATCAACTGACAGACGCTGGTGCTGATGAAACTATCAGTCTTAGACAAGAAGCCCAAATTGTGCTAGATTGGGAAAAGGACGGCTTCACCAGCCTTTCCATAACCGAAAGTGGGAATAGGCAAATAAAACTCACTGCCCTTGGCGCACAGACTGTATGCACCAGTGATGGGGGTAAAACATGCTACCTGTTGCGATATCTCGCGAAAAAATCGTGCGGCAATACTAGCGCGTACTTGTCACGCGGCCTTGTCGTTACCAACAAGCCCACACGAGTCAAAATATGCCTCACCACGGACCGGCCCCACAGCATCCCTTATACTAGATACGTCCCGCAGGGTCCCATCACGGGCTTTCAAGGATACGATGTCTTTCACATAAGCCGTCAGCTATGCAGTGGGCTGCTTTGCCCATGCCCAGAGCCCACCAATTCGTTATCAGTTGTGCCCTGACGATGCCCACTCGCTTGCCTTTTTGACACTTTATTTCTTCCTTTTCGAAAAGGTTGATGAAAGTTTGCGGCCGGAAGTGTAGTTTGCATTGATAATTGTGAACGGTGTGTAAGTGAACTGTGTACGACCAAAACGGGCACAAGCACTTCTAAGCTGTTACCGATTCAATACAGGCACTCATGGGTCTACCCAAGCCATGAGGTCCTATAGTCCCCATGGGCCCATCTCCAGCATTCCCAGTGATCGACTATGCCAACGCCGTCGCCTTCAAACGACCAGTTTCGCGATGCCTCCCGCGACCCGCCCATTCCTGATCGTCCCGCGATCGACTCGTTCAGCGCCACAGCATCCCCCATGACCCACCAGTTCGATAGCCTCCTCTGTGACCCACCAGTCCCATAGTGTCCTCCGTGACCCATCAGTCCCATAACATCCTCTGTGACATGCCAGTCCCACAGCGTCTTTGTGACCCACCAGTCCCATAACATGCTCCCCCATAGCGTCCTCTGTGACATAACAGTCCCACAGTCTTCTGTGACCCGTCAGTCCAACAGCATCCTCTGTGACACAACAGCCCCACAGCATCTTCTGTGACCCGTCAGTCTCGTAGCGTCCTCTGTGACCCAACAGTCCAACAGCGTCCTCTGTGACCCACCAGCCCCATAGCGTCCTCTGTCGCCCAACAATCCCACAGCGTCCTCAGTGACCCATCATCCCCGCAATATTACCAACGAGCGGCCGACGGAGCGCGTCCCCCGAGGCGAACTGCGCCGCCGCCACCGCAGCCGCCGCCGCCGTGGCGGGCTCGCCCGCCGAGTGTGCCTGCGGGCAGTGAGGGGGGAGGTTGGTGGCGTCGGTCGACCGTCGGCAGGCTGACCGGAGGGGAGGGAGATCGTCCGAGCGTGAGCACAAACACGGCTGGGTGGCGGAGGCAGGGGCCGTGCGAGAGGAGCGGGAGGAGGAGGTCGGCCAAGAGGGGTCGGAGGTCGGCCAAGAGGGATCGGAGCTTGGCAAGAGCAGGGGTTAAGAGTCGGAGCAGGAGTCGGAGCAAGAGTCGGAGCGTGGCAAAGCGGTAGCCAGCGTCTTGGAGCGTGAGTTAAGCTGTGGACTGGGGGGCGGGGAGGGGGGGGGGGGCTCCCAGCTTGAGGTACTTGCTGAGTTTGGGGCTGGTGGTGCGTTTAGAGGCGGCATACCAACGCTTCGCTGCGGGTACGTGCAGCATTGAGTTTGCCATCATGAATGTGTATTTATTTTTGATCATGCGTTCCGTTTTTTTATCACGTTTTGTATTTTATAATGCATATTTCGTGTATATTGTTTTGTCTTGTGTCTTGTGGGCAGGCATGTGATTGCTTCCTAGTTTTGATTCCTAGTTCCCGCCGATTCCTTCGACGAAGCAAACCCTGAATCCCGGTTCCCATTGATTCTTTCAACAACAAAAAACCTCTGGATCCTGGTTCCTGCTGGTCGTTTTTTCAAAAAAACCATGGATCCTGGTTTCCCTCCGATTCATAAAAGGACCAGTGGTTTGGTTCCTGGTTCTTATTGGCTCTTTTGAAAACCCCTGACCTAAAATCCTGGTTGACACTGTTTTTTTACAAGTAGAAGACCCTGATCCATGGTTCTCAGTCACAAAGTCGTGAAATCACCCAGGACAACTAACATATTTTTACTTTCTTCTTTATGAAAACCTATCTACCACAGACAAGTAAAACAATCAGCATGCGCCATTACCACCAATGCAACGAACAAAGGAACTGCTGGTTGAAGATGATTGCCTGCAGCTTAGAAGTGAGTGGCTGGCAGCTGACAACATGCCACAGGATAACTAACATCCTTCTGCTTTCACATCACATGAAAGGCACACACCACAGGCAAGAAAAACAGTATGTCCTCATGTTACCATCACAACCAATTATGTTTTACTCTTTTTTAAGATCATTGCCTTTTGGAGGTGTGTGCAGTTGAAACTTCCACTTGTATAATGCTCATATTTGCGGTAAAAGATTTGTCACGCACTACAGACATGTCAAACAGTCAGCATGTCCTGATACCAGCACCACAACTTATAAGGGTTTGCTGTACGCTGTGATTGCATAACATTTACAAATGGGTAGCTGAAACTAAACAGTCAGCATGTCCTGATCCCAGCACCACAACTTATAAGGGTTTGCTGTACGCTGTGATTGCATAACATTTACAAATGTGTAGCTGAAACTATGTGCTCATCACTGTAAAATGGTAGGAGTGTCTTTTATGAATTTTGTATTAATCAACCACATCACGATCTTGCAATACCATCACGATCTTGCAATACCATCGCAATCTTGCAATACCATCACAATCTTGCAATACCGTCACGAACTTGCAATACCATCACGATCTTGCAATATTGCACTATATTTCAAGGCAATAGAAACACTCCAAGAACCGAACTATCCTCCCAGTAGGGTCTCCCTACAATGCTGCCGAAGTGACTAACAGTTTTTCTCCGTATTTTTGTTTCCTTTTGACAGATGTGTGGGAAATACGACAGCCAGAGGGGGCAGGGATTTCTGACTTTTGAAAAATTCAAAATAGCTCTTTATGATATTCTATGTCGTGTCTACGTCCTTCTCGCTTACCACACTTGGAAATTCCTTATATTATATAACATAATTCCCTTCTTATTTTTATCGAAACAACGTGTGGTCAGGCCCCGCGGTCATATTACAGACGAAATGGATCAGATACACGTCAGAAATCCAATCCTGGCGCAACTGGGGTGGGGTCGCTAGTGTGAGTCAGTCAGCTGTTAATCTGCCCTCCATACAACGTCTGCGAAACTACGCAGTCTCTGAGAAAGTGTAGAGCAATGGTAAGGTCGGTGTCATTGCAGGTCATCATGTTTGGGCCTGTACTGATTTATTATGGTTTGTACAAGTCCTGATGAATGCAATCATCTATGAAGTAGTTGTTTCCGTAATCGTCATTATAATGCTTGTTTATGTTTGTTAAGTTAATGGTGATCACTTAATTTCCATAATAGTGATGATAAAACATACAGTTTTAAGGAGCATCAGAGGTGTAGTTTCATATTGTTGGGTCACCTCAGCTCTCCCAACTCTAAAAAAGGGAAGATAGGTTTAACCGTTTACTCTGCTCAGCCTCTCTAACTAGTTTGAAACATTGTGCCCCTGAGCAAGACCTTGCTGAACCTTGGTAATTAGGGTTGGGACCTCAGATTATATTCTGGTTTTGCTGCTTACATTGGCACCAACCGAGACTAGAGAATGGGTCTTAATGGACCTCAGCTAATCCTGAAATACATCTTGGTGCTGGATCCTAACTTGTTCCAAGCTAGATCATGGTTCTTGCCGAATCTCTTGACATGATCTTAAGCTGGGTCTTGGTTCTTGCTGGATCTTTGGACGTAGTTCCAGGCGGGATCTTGGTTCCTGCTGATTCTCTTGGCCTGACACCACACTGGATATTGGTTCCTGCTAGATGTTTTGGTTATGATCAGGCTACATCCTGGTTCTTGCTGGATCTTTCGATTTAATGTAGGGCTGGATCCTGGTTCTGGCTGGATCCCTCACCTAATACCAGACTGGTTCCAAGCTTCTTCCTGGCTCCGAAGCCAAGAACCAGGAGTCGATTCCCGAGAAATCTTTAAAACTAGGCACACGTCTGCTTGTAAAAGTATATTTTACCATTTTACGCACTCAAGATCGCAGGAGTGCAATTTGTCAGTTTACACACCCAAGATCATGGGTATATATTTTGTCCCAGGGTGTGTCGTTGCATTGCATTGCAATATGTCTCAATATGATCTAGCGTTGTCATGCGACCTAGTGTTACTGACTTTGCTGGTGCACGGAATAACATGAGGGACTGTAACAGCTACCTCATGCAGCTGTCACAGCTTGCGGGGCCAAGAAATAAAATGGGAGCGAATGGGATCGGAAGTTTTTTCCAGCGAGCCAGCCGTCAGCTGAAATGAATGCATTTGACCGTGGAGTCATCCGGCGGTGGTTTGATAATACTGGGTTAATTTGATACCCCGCAGGCTCAGTTTACACCTCGCCAGTGCTCAAATTATCCTTGTGACAAATTGCCCGAATAGTTGGCGCTTTATCCATCGAAACGGTATGTGATGACCAGCTAGCCTCTAGGCTCTGTGGGTGGATCTCTGGTTTCTTATTGGAGCGCTGCTTTGGGTTCATGGCTTCATGTCAGCCGAGGGAATGTGGTAGGATGCTGTAATGTTCGCGACAATCTCAAAATCGAGCGTCCGTTAAGTCTCATCAGCGGGCGCCCGAATCGCTCATTGTGGCTCATCTGTTCTCAATTACATCAGTCAATAGTCATTAACGTCCTGAGTGGGAACTACGTTGGAAATGACATTTGCTCAGAAATAAAGCCTGACACGTCAACGTGAGTTGGATAATTTTAAGTTAAAGTGTCATAGGAAGATTTTAAACACTGACAGCTTGAATTTGATTGATAACATTTGTGACATGTCTACAGAGAAGTTTTTCATATGAATGGAACATAGACCTTTACTGAATAGAATACTAGCGATTCGTAAAGCTCTCAGCTCTCGCGAGTTAAAACAGATGCAAGCAGTTTTGGAGAAATTGTCGGCAATTTCCGGCGTTATGTACCCTGCGTAGCGAAGCAGAATCGCTGCTCACCAAAAATATTTCCGTTGAATATGTGAATATTTGCCAGTACGACTTCTTAACCGGCCACTCAGTAATCCTGATTCAAGCTTAGGCTTATTATGCAGGTTATGATTAAGGTTACGTCGTTAATGCCCATCTCATGTTGCCTCTAGCCTTACTGGGATTCTTTTGGTGAGATTAACTTTAAAGCTGCATTTGCACAGTGGGACAAAATCGGCAATGGGTGTATTTGAAAACGACGGAATATTTCACTAAAAACACAAATATTGTGCCAGCCCTGTGCTGATCTGTCCACTGACCTTGACACGTGGTGACCTTGACACGTGATGACCTTGACACGTGATGACGGCTGTTTGGTAGGCATTGAGAACCGATGCCAGTCTAGGTACCGTAGAATCTTTTGGTCACGGTTATGTTGGATTAATGACTAGACAGGTTTTAATCAGGCCATATTCAAGCAAGACGTTCTTGAATATGACAGCTGTTGATGATGTATCTTGATGTAGTTGTACTTTTTTGTTTAGTTATTTACACAACTTTACGTAAATTTTATTCATTTTTGACTTGGCAGTGTCGTTCTGTTACCAGCAGGAAACATTTTCCCCACAAGTCACCATAAGTCAACTGACCTTTGAAGACCTTTAGGATGGTCAATGGCAAGCCCCGCTGCGTGATGGCTCCCCTCTGCAGTCGCAGGCGTTCCATAAAAGGTTGCCAGAAGGCGTGCGTCACATTTTCTTTAAGAAAGAGGGCCTACAGACGGCTGCGGGACCGTTCCTGGCACAACCAACAGTTGAGGCGCGTCAGCCTTGGTGTTGGGACAGTGGTGCTACAACCACTTCATTTCAACGTTTTGTGATGCGCGCACATTCACGGCAGTTTGCCTTTTTTATTCGGCTTCGGATTTCATAGGTTGTGCTCCCATTTTCATGATAATTTTGCCACGAAAGTTCATTGAAAGTTTCTGGCTGACGTTGACCTTCAAATAGAATTGCTCAACGACTGGCTGATACATGCCTTATGTCAGCAGCGTATAAGCACAGCATAGTAATTGATTAGATTGGTCAGGCGCTGACAGCTTGTAAGAACAGACACGATATCTTGATTGACTGCATACAGATAAGGATTGAAATGTATATAAGTGACCACGACCTT